CCCCCACCCCCCTTGTACCAGCGAAACTTCAGTCCTTCACATATTTTTCCAGAGCATATCTCGTATACTTTCCAATCTGCTCTTGTTCATATTTGGTCCTTGTTTTATCGAGTTTCAGTACGAATTTAGGTTTTGTTGACACTTCGGTATGGCCTCGTTGGTGTTTTTTGCCATGCGAGTACCTCTTGAGATGCTTGAATGTCGTATACTGAAGTCTGATCAAGTGCCCACTATGAATACTTAAGTTTAAGACTGTAGATAACTCACAATAATTTGTTTGATACATATAATTAATATACATTATGTATGGTGTATCCGTTGGAGCATTTATATATACTTTGTTTATCATAATTTGTTTGGTGTATATAAATGATATTTGTTATTTCCGTTGGTATATGCTTTGTTTGGTATATATACATGATATTGGTTGTTTACGTTGGTATATACAGTTCTTTGTTAGGTATGTATAAATGACATTTATTGTTTCGGTTGGTATATATATTTTGTTTTATATATATATGAGATTTCTTGTTCCCTTGGCGCATACATATATGATATGAATAGTGCTAAATGTGAAGTGTCTTAAAACAAAATAACATTTTGGGCAACACAAGCCTGAAGTTTTCTCTCAGTCTAGGCATAGCTTACCACACACGTTTACCAGGAAAGCATTTGTTTTCTGTTCGTCTTTGATGTAAGGCATTACACATCAGTAAGTAATTCCGTATAGATTGTCAACCTTGCTTGCTAGCAGCGAAAAATGCAACCAAATTAACTAGGACAAAATAATTAATTCGCCCGTGAAAGTAGCTAAAGAGTGTTCATATATTATTTATGTAATGTTTCATGTTGAAAGAAATACCATAACTTGTCTGATATTTATTTTTATGCGAACTAAGTTTCTTTATTCTGTTAGTATATATTACATGTACTTTGCTGTTAATATCGGTATTAGTAAAGGATGTGTTGCTTTATACAAACATACATTATATTTGTTGTTTCTCCTAAAAAAATACTCTTTAACATATTTTTTACAGTTATCAAACCAAAACATTCACCCAGTGATGTATCAACTTAACGTTGCTTACCTTTGCGTCAGTATGTCCATGCAGGTGAGCTGTAGTTTATTACAATGTAAAATAAAACATGTTATGAGAAGTTTTCTTTTTGCCATGGAAAACGAAAAAAAATCAATATATTTGATAAAGTCGAATTTGTACAATTCGACAAATATCAATTTTCATTCCAGTCTATTTAATTTTATAAGTGGAATTTGACAAAGATAATTAAATTTCTCTTTTTGTTGTTATAATCATCATATGACTAATTAATTAAGCGTCAGAGTGAAACATTGTGAGTACATTGCAGGTCATACTAATTTTGATAAAGGATCGGTTGCATAAACACGTCGACACTAGTTTGGCAAAGCCAAATTCTTCAGGAATGTTTTCAACGTTATGGCAGGGAGTGCTTACTCACAGGTACGATGACGCTCCAGTTACTAGCTAAGATACGAGTTAGTGTGGAAATCTATTTTAGTTGAAAAATTTGTGTCGAAGTAGGTTTCCATGAAAAAAGAGTGGCGAATTATGTTTCGTAGAGAAATAGGTGTTGAATTGCGTTTTCATTAAAAGAAATTAAGCGTAGAATCATAAGTTCGAAAGAAAAAGGTAAAGAAATATTTTTTCATTTCCGAAATGAGTGAAGAACTGTATATATGCTTTTGTCGTAACATGTGTGTTTTATATACATTTGGCATCTTCCAAACAATATTCCGGCATGAAAACCATCACTGTCCTAACCATCAACTTAAACTTCTTCTATCCTTAATCTGTATCTCTAATCTTCAGTGTACTTACTTTAATTTATGGATATGAAATCCTTTATCAATAGACCCTATTGCAAGCTTAAAGGTCAACATGTTACTATATTTACAATGCATTTAATTAAACGTACCATTTTTTAAATACTTATCGTATTGTTCCTAAATATTTAGTTTATAGGAATCAAGTTATTACATGTTTTCATTAATATTTTTCAGATATTTCACAGTTTCGGGAAAAACCAACAAACAACTCGTTGGATTTGTTTTTCTATCTATTTTTCTTATGGTAAGTTTTAATTCATTTATTTATTGGTACAAGAAATAAAAATGCATCCTAAACAGGTATTGAATTGATTGTCCTTTAATCAGGTGAAGTGCATGTAAACTTGGCTGTAATTATATTTTTCTTTATGATATAAAATAGAGATAATAAAGTTAATACCATTCACGAAAAACATAAGTTTGAATTCAGTTTTTGTGAGTACAAAGGGAGATACCATGATTTGCTGTGGTAGGTTTGGGAGTTATCTACGTGGGTAGCGGTGTGGTTACAAGGAGTGACACCAGGCTACATGAAGGGTGATTTCCTCGACGACCTGTATGATTTACGCAGTAGTGGTCGCTATACTGTGTTCTACAGCTACGGGTACCTGTTGTGGGGGCTTGTCATCACGACACTCTCGGGAGAGCTGATATACGTCATCATTCACGTGATCACCATGGTTGTGGCCATCAAACAGCACAAGGTCCTTCTATATGTTGTAAGTATGAATACCGTGTATGAAGTTCTGTTTTTCGATAGTAAGTAAATGGAATATTTTGAACAGCTTTGGTTTGCCTAATGGTGAATTTAAGTCAACCCATCACAAGAGGGTAAAAATAATTTCTTAAATACATTTTAATAAAAATCCATATAGTTTTCTTCATTGTTGTGCATTTACTTCGATAAATGATTTAAAGTATGTCGTAATGGAGATGATATACAAATGTATAAACTGTGGAATAGAATCGTCGTGTTGATTTGAACTACGAAAACTTATTACATTGCAGGCGTCTGGTATGCTTTTAATGGTATTTCTGGCAGATATTATTATGACGGGCCTGACTGGAGTGCTGCTAGACACTGTAAGGAGTTAGTAGATCCTCGGTAGCAGATAATAGATCCTTGTTAAATCGGTAACAGATAATAGATCCTCGTTAAATAGGTAACAGATAGTAGATCCTCGTTAAATCGGTAACAGATAACATATCCTTGTAATTACGATAATAGATAATATCATCGTAATATCGGTAACATATTAGATATCCTCGTAATATCAGTAACAAATAATAGATCCTCGAAATATAGTGTAACAGAAAGTAAATCCTCGTAATATCGGTAACAGATAATAGATCCTCGTTAATCGGTAACAGATAATAGATCCTCGTTAAGTCGGTAACAGATAAAAGATCCTCGTTAAATCGGTAATAGATAATAGATCCTCGTTAAATCGGTAACAGATAATTGATCCTCTTTAAGTCATTTAACAGATAAGAGATCCTCGTTAAATCGGTAACAGATAACAGATCCTCGTTTAATCGGTAACAGATAGTAGATCCTCGTTAAATCGGTGACAGATAATAGATCCTCGTTAAATCGGTAACAGATAACATATCCTCGTAATATCGATAACAGATAATATCCTCGTAATATCGGTAACAGATTATATATCCTCATAATATCAGTAACAGATAAGAGATCCTCGAAATATCGGTAACAGATAGTAGATCCTCGTTAAATTGGGAACAGATAATAAATCCTCGTTAAATCGGTAACGGATAACTGATCCTCGTTAAATCGGGAACAGATGATATATCCTCGTAATAACGGTAACAGATAAAAGAACCTCGTTAAATCGGTAACAGATAATAGAACCTAGTTAAATCGGTAACAGATAATAGAACCTCGTTAAATCGGTAACAGATAATCCGAACAACTCGTTCATTCACTTATATTCCTAACTAAATAACTTATACGCGAGAGTTGACTTTTATAAATTCGTAATATATTTGTTAATCTCGCATGTTATTTTTACTGTAAACAATAAAAAAATTGAGAGATAGAGTTTTCATTTTTTTTTTTTTTTTTAAAGATCAAAATATTGGGTAACTATATATACATATACAAAAAAAGAGGGGAAAATGGGTGGGAAAACATAGGAAAAAACTGATGTGTTGAAAAGTTTAAGATAAGTGCACGCCTTATAACTTGCACATACTTATTGTCAACAAGCAAAAAAAACCATCTTTGTGATTATGGCTTTTATAATATGAGGATTTTGAAATATTGTCATGAAACTGTGGATGGATTTTTTCCGTATGTATTTAGCCATCAATATTCGTATAGAACGTATGAACGACATGTGTAGGCCTACTGAAGAAGGGCTATTATATACTTGCCTGATCCTTTAATTTACATTCATGACTATTTACTGATGTTAAATAACAAATTTTACGGCTCATGATTTGCCAACCTAAGGTGAATTGATAGATGAAATGATAACTGGATTTACAACATTTAGAAATGATTGTATATTTTAGGCGTATAATTGCTGGAATCTGACGAAAAGTACAGCTGTATCACAGAAGGTACGTATCCCCCTGCTTTACTACAGCCACAGGTCAAAAGTATGTCACGTTACGTAAGTTCAAAATTAGATTTCATGTTTATTTAAAAAAAATATATATATATTTTCACGACCTTGTTTGACATCCAATTTTAATTAAATATATCTTTTTAGAGAATTATCCGGTGTTTCTTATGGTTATTGTAACATTATCATACATCATCAATGTCCTAAGCGACACACCAGGACTTGGGCCTAAGCAACCCTAATAAAAGCCTCTTTCTGAATACCCAGCACACATGGTGGTTTGTCGTCTTTGAGCACCGATGTATCAGTAATATTTATATTATTATCCGTGCCTATGTTGTTGCAATATCACTTTTCGTTCCGGCATAAATAATTACGCAATTCCCTTAGACATAATGTTAAATTTTGTTTGGAAATTTACTTATCATGGTTAGATTTCAATTTAACGAGTAATTTAAATGTTACAAATAGAAGCGCTATATAGTTCGCTAGCTGTCCTGTCTCCATTTTGTCACTAAAATCGAAGCCAGGAAAGTGGATTTTCGAAAAGTAAATAAACACGGTATAGAATAGGAAAATGACCTAACGTGATCGACTGTTTTTATCTCTGGCTGTCTTTGTACATGTATCAACACATGGTGAATCGTGTGTGATTATCTTAATAACGACGACATCATTTCAATAAATAAGCCCACGTCTTCAGTCTTTCTATTTGATTATTTGTAAAGATTTATTAAAATTTCTATCTGATACCTGCTTTGTAGTTATGTAATGGACCAGTGGCTAGGCTGTACGATCTAAGTGGGGTGTTCATCGGTCTCACAGTGTGGCATGCCGTGCTTGTGGTGAGTAAGTTTATCATGACTACTCTATTGGTGAAGACAATCCACGCCAGTAACTCGACAGTCTAGTCACGCAATAACCTAGCGCCATATGTGTACATTCTAATAGTAACTCAGCAACCTAAAATGTGTGTTAAAGAATAGAAATAATCCAGAAAGCTACGTGATGGATATGGGTTGAATTTCCACGTTAATGCTCGTGTTTATGTATGTTGCATACCTGCTACGCAAAATCTATACATGTATGTATATAACGTAGCTACACAAAGACATACGTGAACAATTGATTTATATCATATTTATTATATTGAAGATCGTCTCTATTAAGTCTTCAGCATATGACAGAAGAGAGGAATATACAAACTGATAGCTATAATGATGAAGTAATTGCCATCTCTTGCTCAGTCACATCTTCAAATGTTAAATTCTTGTGTTACTATAATATGTAATTATTATGTTATAGGTGTTGTTAATTTGGCTGTGTATGTACTTTGTGTTACTATAATATGTAATTATTATGTTAAAGGTGTTGTTAATTTGGCTGTGTATGTACCTTGCCGGTAAAGCCACTAACAAGTCACATATAATCCCACTTGAAGACAACATGTGGTTAAATCATCGAACAGCAGAGACTGTTACAGGCAGTTCCAGCGACTCACCGCCCCGACTGCGCCATTCTATATCTCCGTCCGGTAGTATTTTAGTCACTGAAATCAGTTGAGTGTTTCCTCATAAGTGTTTGAAATGTTACCAATTGAGCTGATGTTAGCAACATTGCCATACCATCGTGTCCAGTCAGTCATCCGATGTCTCTTTAGAAAGAGCAAAACAGGGAATAACTGTCGGAATTAAAACAATGGACAGATTAATGTGAGGAGATGTTTCAGCAGACGGGATTAGACATAATCAAACTAGGAATAAGATTAATGTGAGGAGATGTTTCAGAAGACGGGATTAGACATAATCAAACTAGGAATGAGATTAATGTGAGGAAATGTTTCAGAAGACGGGATTAGACATAATCAAACTAGGAATAAGATTAATGTGAGGATGCGGTTGCGATGCTTAGTGGAATGATGATGATGATGCTAGTTTATAAGTGAGTATGAAATAAAAGAAAGTAAATATACATGTCGGAAAAAGAAAGAGAGGTGTAAATAGCCGTATTTATGTAATTTTACACACAAAAAATGAGTAAAATTGAGTGAAAGAGGTACATTATGTATGGTGAACGAAAACCCTCCTACGTTGAGGACAATTATTGTTCGGGGATTGAACCCAGTGCCCTTCAACTCTGGCAATCCCTATCCCAACTATTGCTGAAGAATTAAAAAAAATAATGAATTTTTCGCGGGAAAGATGATGTGTTGTCAACGGTGACGAATAACACAGTTGAGCAATAAACAAATAGTTCCACTTTATTTCAATCACTGGATGACATTAAAGAAGTGCTAATGTAACACCCATAGTTGTTAGAGACGGGAATACAATGTTTGTTTTGATTGTTGTTAAAGTGAAGATAGACCAAATATGCATCCTCAAAACGCTATTATTTGCTTACAAATAGTCACATTCAGAAACGCATCCTAGCTTGTGAATTAATTTTAGACAATATTTTCTCTCATGTCATTAAAATCCTGGCTATCCTTCCAAACGTTTCTCTGTTCCTGCTTTGGAAAAAAAACTTGGATCCCCAAATATCACATATCAAAACCATGACAACACATATATTTATGTGAACGTCTCACAGTTTTTATTTGAGAAGCCGCCGTTTAAACACTAAAAAGGACGCCTAACGCGGTTAGTGGAGCGGGACATTGATTTTTCTTTTTTGCAAATGGTACTAAGTATTTTAATTATATGTGCAGAAAACCTTGTTAACATCGAGTAGATTACCTGCTAGTGTAGGCTCTTGTATTTTCGATTATTGATAATATTCAAGCATTAATCTTTGATCCACTTTTCTGTGATATTCATCGTAGAATTTTGGTATTTTTTTCTCGGTTTGCTACTAGGTTACAATAAAATGTTCAACAGAAATGTAGATCAGGTTCGAAAGGCTATGTTTTCGGTTCTGAGTGTATGTGTTTAATGTCGTGATGTTGATATCATTCTAAGTTCTTGGTTTGAAATATTATTGAAATCAATATAAGCGTGATCGAAAAATAAGATAATGAAATACTTTAAGTAGATATGCCTATGATATGTAGATACATTAGTGTTACCTAACTCTACAGAAATACGGAACCTTGACAATATTAGCATGATAGGAAGAGTTTAGCTACAGTTCTGTAAGCGAATGTTAAATGAGCGTAAAGACACTTCCTCTTATATGGTTTATTGTACCTGTAATTTAGAAGTTGACGTAATGTAAAAAAAAAGGTGTTTTATCATGAACTAATGACTAACAAGGATAACTGTTCAAGAATATTGTATATCCTGATGTAACCTCTCCATGAACATAAATTCATGATTACTGTGTTGGTTTTACATTCAAAACCTCTTCATCATTTGTATACATGAATGAAGTTGTGACTTTTTGTTGGACACTTTGAAGTTACGGAGTGATTATTAAAACCTTAAAATCTTTCAATTTTAGTTCACCTTATAAATGGTTGTACAAATGTCACCAGCAAACCTTATCATTGGTCGTACAAATATTTCTGACACTACTTATCAATGGTCGTACATAATCTGTCTGACACTACTTATCAATGGTGGTACAGAATCTCTCTGAAACTATTTATCAATGGTCTTACATAATCTGTATGACACTACTTATCAATGTTCATACATACTCTCTCTGGCACTACTTATAAATGTTCATACATAATTTCTCTGGCACTACTTAGCAATGGTCGTACAGAATCTCTCTGACACCAAATGTCACCAGCAAACCTTATCATTTGTCGTAAAAATATTTCTGACACTACTTATCAATGGGCGTACAGAATCTCTCTGACACTGCTTATCGATGGTGGTACAGAATCTCTCTTACACTGCTTATCAATGGTGGTACAGAATCCCTTTGACACTGCTTATCAATGGGGGTACAGAATCTCTCTGAAACTATTTATCAATGGTCTTACATAATCTGTCTGACAATACTCATCAATGGTCGTACAGAATATCTCTGACACTACTTATCAATGGACGTACAGAATCTCTCTGACACTGCTTATCAAATCAATGGGGGTACAGAATCTCTCTGACACTGCTTATCAAATCAATGGGGGTACAGAATCTCTCTGACACGACTTATCAATGGTCGTACAGAATCTCTCTGACACTGCTTATCAATGGTGGTACAGAATCTCTCTGAAACTATTTATCAATGGTCTTACATAATCTGTCTGACACTACTCATCAATGGTCGTATAGAATATGTCTGACACTACTTGTCAACGGTCGTACATAATCTCTCCCTCTGACCTTATCAATGGTCGTACAGAATCTCTCTGACACTACTTATCAATGGTGGTACAGAATCTCTNTGCTTATCAATGGTGGTACAGAATCCCTTTGACACTGCTTATCAATGGTGGTACACAATCTCTCTGACACTACTTATAAATGGTCGTACATAATCTGTCTGACACTACTTATCAATGGGCGTACAGAATCTCTCTGACACTACTTATAAATGGTCGTACAGAATCTCTCTGACACTACTTATCAATGGTCGTACATAATCTGTCTGACACTACTTATCAATGGTCGTACATAATCTGTCTGACACTACTTATCAATGGTCGTATAGAATCTCTCTGACACTACTTATCAATGGTCGTACAGAATATCTCTGACACTACTTATCAATGGACGTACAGAATCTCTCTGACACAACTTATCAATGGTCGTACAGAATCTACTTATAAATGGTCGTACAGAATCTCTCTGACACAACTTATCAATGGTCGTACAGAATCTACTTATAAATGGTCGTACAGAATCTCTCTGACACTCCTTATCAATGGTCGTACAGAATCTCTCTGACACTGCTTATCAATGGTGGTACAGAATCTCTCTGACACTGCTTGTCAATGGTGGTACAGAATCTCTCTGACAGTGCTTATCAATGGTGGGACAGAATCCCTTTGACACTGCTTATCAATGGTGGTACACAATCTCTCTGACACTACTTATAAATGGTCGTACATAATCTGTCTGACACTACTTATCAATGGGCGTACAGAATCTCTCTGACACTTCTTATAAATGGTCGTACAGAATCTCTCTGACACTTCTTATCAATGGTGGTACAGAATCTCTCTGACACTGCTTATCAATGGTGGTACAGAACACTACTTATCAATGGGCGTACAGAATCTCTCTGACACTACTTATCAATGGTGGTACAGAATCTCTCTGACACTACTTATCAATGGTAGTACAGAATCTGTCTGACACTACTTATCAATGGTCGTACATAATCTGTCTGACACTACTTATCAATGGTCGTATAGAATCTGTCTGACACTACTTGTCAATGGTCGTACATAATCTCTCCCTCTGACCTTATCAATGGTCGTACAGAATCTCTCTGACACTGCTTATCAATGGTGGTACAGAATCTCTCTGACACTGCTTATCAATGGTGGTACAGAACACTACTTATCAATGGGCGTACAGAATCTCTCTGACACTTCTTATAAATGGTCGTACAGAATCTCTCTGACACTACTTATCAATGGTGGTACAGAATCTCTCTGACACTGCTTGTCAATGGTCGTATAGAATCTCTCTGACACTACTTATCAATGGTCGTGCAGAATCTCTCTGACACTACTTATCAATGGTCGTTCAGAATCTCTCTGACACAACTTATCAATGGTGGTACAGAATCTCTCTGACACTACTTGTCAATGGTCGTATAGAATCTCTCTGACACTACTTATCAATGGTCGTACAGAATCTCTCTGACACAACTTATCAATGGTGGTACAGAATCTCTCTGACACTTCTTTTCAATGGTCGTACATAATCTGTCTGACACAACTTATCAATGGTCGTATAGAATCTGTCTGACACTACTTATCAATGTTCATACATAATCTCTCTGGCACTACTTCTTATCAATGGTCGTACAGAATCTCTCTGACACTCCTTAGCAATGGTCGTACAGAATCTCTCTGACACTCCTTAGCAATGGTCGTACAGAATCTCTCTGACACTACGGCACTACTTATAAATGTTCATACATAATTTCTCTGGCACTACTTATCAATGTTCAAACATAATC